TGTTGTGTGTGAGGAGCTAGGTCTGGTACACGCAGACTTTGTTGTGTGTGAGGAACTAGGTACTGGTACACGCAGTACCACAATTTGGGTCTTTGTGTGTGTGTGTGAAGTGGAGGGTGGGACAATTCATTTTGAGCTGTAAAAACAATGGTGGCATGCTTGGGTCTGGGCCCCTGGGACCCCTGATTAGAACACTATCTCAGTCTGTGCTGTCTAAGCCAGCCAGCCCTGGGAGGCTCAAGAGTAGCTGCTGAGTAATTGTATTTAAATTTATTTAGTTTCAAATTAAGTAGCCATAGGTGCTTCATTGTGTTATCCTAGTTGTTGTTGTTGTTGTTGTTGCTAAGTGCCTTTGAGTCAGTTCTGACCCATGTTGACTTTGTATAGGGTTTCCAAGAAGCTCTAGGCTAGTGAGCTTGAACTGCCAACCTTGTGATTCAAACTGACTTTGCAGTCCAGCACGTTAACCCACAGCGCCACACCAGGACTCCCACAGGTGGCTAGTGGTTCCCAAATTAGTTAGTACAGTTCTGAGGAATTTGGAGATACTTGGGGTTTGGGCCACAGCCAGTCAGAAAATAAGAAATAAGACAGAAATTTAGGATTTCTCTTACTTGGGATTTCAGCCAAGCCTTTCCTAAGAGTGTGTTTCTTAAGTTCCTGGGCCTGAAGTTCTCAGAGACCCCCAACATTGCCCAACATAGGGTTGATGATAGTTTATTTAATCAGAGAATTAATTTTTTTGCCTGGTGAATTCCTATTCATACTTAAAAACCCCAATTCCTATGCCCCCTTCAATCTGTGCTCCAACAGTCCCTGTCTGTCCTGGTCCTGACCTTATGGGACTGGGAGTGTCTGTGTCTGGTTCTATTCCCTTGACTGAGGATTCTTCTGGGGCCAAGCTCAGTGCTAGATCATCTCAGGAGCCCTGGCATTGTGTACAGTCAGCATTACATGAATCACAAAAGCCTAGGAACAATGGGGGTGGGGGTGGGGGGGAGCTGGTTGATGATGGGTCAAATAAAACTCACTTTCAAGGTTAGGTAAACTGAGGCTCAGCTAGGGGCAGCCTTGCCTGATGTCCTGTCTGCTCCTCTGTCCTCCACATCCTGTGATCCTGTCCCTTCCTCCTCTGCACCTCCCAGGCTCCCAGCTGCTGCCATGTCGCCTGCAGGGTCATGAATTATGGATCAGGCCTGCAGGCTTCTGTGACAAGCGTGGCAGACAGCGCAAGTCCCTCCCCCTCAGGGCAGCCCGGCCCAGCCTCCTCTGAAGGGAGGCCAAGGATCTCCCTTGAGGGCCTCCTCTAGCCATTCACTCTTGTTTTACAGATGGGGAAATTGAGGCACGGAACTGGCCAGTGACTTGGCCACAACGTGAACACTGCATCCGGACTTGTAGGGGGACTGATGCCAGCTGCTTTGCCTCAGTGAGGGGTGAGCTCCCCAGCCCACTGTGCCCAAAATGTGGACTCAGGAGACCCTCAAGGGACCCTTGAGGACATTCCAGGGAACCTGACCTCCATCTGGGCAATCACAGTGCCTAGAGTCCATTTCTCACCAGACTCTTTTCCTATAGGAGCTGCCCAGTGTGGAGCTGACATTGTAGGTCTGGACTCAGACCACCCAGAGGGTGAATCCGCTGCTGCTTCTGGGCTGTACGACCTTGGCAAGTGATTTTCCTCCTGGAGGCCTCATTTTCCCTATCTGTGAAATGGGCCAGAGCTTCTCTGCCCAGCCTAGGATCTCTCCTCATACTTGTCAACTTCTGTTGATGCTTTAAAACCCCAACTCCCATGCCCCTTCCTCTAGTCTGGGATTCCCTAGTCCTTGTTCCTCTGTCCAGTCCAGGCCTGGCCCCATGGATCTGGGGCTATTTGTGTCCAGGTCTGGAATCTTCTCACAGGCATGCTCCTAGCTTGGGGTTTGTAGTTCCTAGCCTCTCCCTTCTCTTGCCCTCCTCCATAAGGAGGGATGGTTGGGGTTTCCCCTCCCCAGGGCCGTACTGATTGTGACCCTGCAGTTTAAACTTGCCTCTCTCTTCTAGCAAGCATCAGACAGGAGCCTGTGGGGTCTCCACAGTGATCATCAGGATGTCGTATTTTGGAGAGCACTTTTGGGTAAGCAAGACCTACTTTTATTTTGGCAGAGACTTCTGTCAGGGCTGTGGGGCTTTTGTGAAGGTGTGGGCACCAAGACCTCATGGGCAGAGCCATAGGCAGGTGGAGGGTCTGCAGGGGTTGGGAGTTGAAGTGGGGAGAGTTAAGCTGTATTTGAATCTACACCCCCAGCCCTCATAGGCCATGCTACAGGTTCAATGTGAAAGTATAGAGTCTGAGCTTGATCCCAAAGTCAGGACTTGGTCCTACCTCCAGGATTCAAGGACATTCTGGCCAGGGAATTTCCACATCCTTCCATATTGGAGAATTGGGGGATTTTCTTGCTATTGGCTCTGTGTGGCCCCCTCAATTCTTCTCCCTCTGGTCTGAGGACAACATACTATGACTTAATTTTGTCAGGGGTAGAGGGCAGGTAGTATGGACATATTTTCATTCATTCATTCACTCATTCATTCACTCCCTCTCTGCCACCCTGGGAGAGGATAATGCCTCAGACCGACTCCATCCCTGCTTCCAGAACAGGCACTCCTAGCCTCACAGGGTCTATCTTGAGGGTGTTTGCAGTGGGATTTGAAGATTGAGAGATTTTCCAGGATGAGAGGGAGGCCTTCCACGCTGGATGAACAGCCTGGGCAAAAGCCCAGAGGTGGGACACTGGTGGCAACTTAAGGAACAAGGAGTCCTCATGCAGGGCCAGTCAATGGGGAGCCACAGAGGGTGTGTGAGCAGGGGAGGGCCCAGGCATCAGGTTGGAGCTGGGGCAGAAGCCCCTCATCCCCAGTTTTGGGCCCTAGTTTGCAGAGAGGAAGCCCGTTGCTAGGTGACTGGTTGCCCCTGGCAACAATCAGGCTCCCTCCCCCCCCCCCTCCTCCCCAGCTGGGGCTCCTTTTACTGGTGCTCGCTTTCTTAAAGGGACCGCACCCCCTTGTTACCTCAGCCCCCTTCCTGCAGGGTCAGCCTTCCTGGGTTTGCCTCTGAATGATTCTGGGGAGAGGCTGCCCCATTTCTGAGCCCTTGTTTTTGCCTCTGTATAAGTGGGTTGTCCATTTGGGGTATCAATCCTCACCCGTGTTTTGTAAGTCTGGCAGTGGCACCTACATTTATTGAACTTTTATTTTAATTGCTCAAGGTATGTAAGCTCCCTGCAGAAAATTCAGATCAGCAAAGAGAAAAGAAGAGTCACTCTCTCCACCTCCTCCTTAAAGACAGCCAGGGGCAGAGTGGTTAACAACTTTGGGTTCAGGCTTCAAATTCAAATTCAGACTCTGCTGGGAGCCCTGGAGCAGGTGACTTTGCCTCCCTGGGCCTCAGTTACCCCATCTGGGAAGAGGGTTTGAAATTCCCACCTTTGCAGGACTCAAGGAGGGTCCTAGGACCATTCTATCAAGACTTTTTCAATCAGTTGGTTATAAGGGCATCCCCATGCATGGAGGTGCTGGCTCCTGGCTGGCCCCTCAGGCAGTCTCAGGCAGAGGAGCTCAAGCGTGATAGGCCCCGGGCACAGCCTGGGGCATAGAGGGTCCTGGGGAGCCATGGGAACATAAGCCAGAGAGACATGTGTAAGCTATAGTTAACTATAGTTGAAAGATCCCACTGGGGCTGGCGTGGAGGGCAAGCTGGTATCTGGAGGTTCTGGGAGGAGACACAGCCTAAGCCAGCCACTCCTAGGACCCCTAGCTGCCAACCCAGAGGCAGATACCACTGGGGGCTTTGCCAGGCCTGGGAAACTGGCCAGCAGTTGGCTTCAAATCAGGCCCAGATGCTGGCCTGGGCTGCAGTGACTGGCACGGCCTCACCCGAGGATCCCCTGGGTGAGTGGGCAGGCAAGGGTTGCTGGGCTGTTTAGGGAGCCCTTATCATCATCCCTTGAGGTTCAGAACTTGGCCAACCTCATCTCACCAGGACCCTTGGGAGGTAGGTGCTGCCATTAGCCCCATTTACTGGGTAAAGAAACTGAGGCCCAGAGAACTGACATCACCGGCCCAAAGTAACTTGTGAATAAAAGGAGACTTTGACAATTGAATCTTGAAAGTGTAACTCCAGACATGAGAAGAGAGAAAATACATTCTGGAGGAGTTCAAGGGAGTAACCATGAAAGTTTGGGGGTCATGGGAGTCTAGGAGAGTCAAGGAGTGTTTCTGGAGGAAATGGGCTTTAGAGACAGAAAACTTGGGGTGAGTGGAAATTGTCTAGACAGAGGTGCAGTGCCTAGAAGATTCACGCCTTTGTGCTTGCTTGCTGTTTTGCTGACTAGGCCAGGAGAAAGCTGGGAGATGAGGTTGGACAGGCAAGTCCAGGCTAAGGACTTAGCACTTCACCTGGTGACCAACTGGGAGCCATCAATAGGCTGAGAAGTGATTCTGAAATACCTGAGTTTGAGGCAGTCCTGGATCTGTCTCAGTCTGAGCCTCAGTTTCTCCATTTATTCCACGAGAAGGATTATCTGGTAGTGCCTTCTGGCTTTTAGTGTTCAAGCTTCCCGATAATTATGAGGGTGAACTCCAAAGGTTGGGGGACGATGGAGGAAACCACCTTGTGAGAACTTCCTTGCTGAGTTCTCTGTGCCCATCGGTGTTGCCAAAGGGACCGCTTCAGTGATTTATGTTGGAATTAAATATCCTCAGATCCTTCCTTAAGCCTCCTCTTCCAATCCTAATTACAAGGCTCCGTATGTTGTAAATGGAGTCCTGGTGTACTGCTGGGGGTTCATGTGGTGGACTGCAAAGTCTGTTTGAGCTGCAAGGTCGGTGGTTTGAGCTCACCAGCCTCTCCTTGGAAATCTTATACACGGTTGCTATGAGTCGGAACCGACTTGACGGCATCAACAACGTATGGTGCAAAGGAGTCCTGGTGTGGTGTGTAGGATAAGCACTGGACTGCCAACCACAAGGCCAGCAGTTCAAGCCCCACCCCAGCCCCAGCTGCTCCTTGGAATGCCTATACAGGGTCGCTAAGGGTTGGAATCGACTTGATGGCACTTTAACCACAACAACAGCAAAATTGTTGCTGTTAAAGTGCCATAGGATAGTTCTGACTCATAGCAACCCTGTATAGGGTTTCCAAGGAGCAGCTGGTAAGCTTGAACCAGCAAACTTGTGGTTCCAACTGACTTTGCAGTCCAGTGCATTAAACCACAGAGCCATACCAAGACTCCAACAACAACAGGGTGCTAAAATCTACTTCCCTAGGACCCTAGCTCATTTCCCTCTGTGGTTGTTGCTGTTGTTATAAAATATGTATCTAACACATTTGCCAATGTAATCTTTTCTGTACAATTGATTGACTTCAGTTACATTAACATTAGTCATGCTGTACAACCATGACCCATAATCCCTGCCAGATCTCCATCACCAGAAACAGATTCACTGCTTCCTAAACAATGTCGTCCCCCTCTCCCCTCCCTCAGACCCCTGTAACCACTAATCAACTTTACTGTGAGGTGCCATCGAGTCAGTCCGACTCATAGCAAACCCTATGCACAACAGCCCTGTGCCATCCTCACAACTGTTGTTATATTTGAACCCACTGTTGCTGCCACCGTGTCGCTCCATCTCTTTTTTGCTGACCCACTATTTACCAAGCATGATGTCCTTCTTCAGGAGCTGGTCCAGTGTGTCCAAAGTACAAAAGACAAAGTCAGGAGCATTCTGGTTGTACGTCTTCCAACACAGATTTCTTTGTCCTTTTGGCAGTCCAAAATTCAATATTCTTTTGCCAACACCATAATTAAAATGCATCAGTTCTACGGTCTTCCTGATTCATTATCCAACTTTCACATGCATATAAGGTTAGTGAAAATATCATGGTTTGGGTTAGGTACACCTTAGTCCTCAAAGTGACATCTTTGCTCTTGAACACTTTAAAGAGAGCTTGCACAGCAGATTTGATCAATGCATTAAGTCATTTGATTTCTTGACTGCTGCTTGCATGAATGTTGATTGTAGATACAAGTAAAATGCTGCCTTTGACAACTTCAATCTTTTCTGTTTATCATGGTGTTATTTATTGGTTCAATTGTGAGAACTTTCATTTGCTTTGCATTGAGATGCAATCCATACTGAATGAAGTCTTTAATCTTCATCAGTAAGTATGTTAAGTCATCTTCACTTCCAGCAAACAAGGTTGTGTCGTCTGAATATACCAGGTTGTTAGTGAGTATTCCTGCAATCCTGAGACCACATTCTTCTTTATATAATCCAGATTTTGGATTATTTGCTCAGTATACTGTGGTTATGAGCTGGGCTGCTAACCTCAAGTTCAGCAGTTTGAAACAATAAGGAGAAAAATGAAGCTTTCTGCTCCCGTAAATAGTTACAGCCTTGAAACCTATATAGGGTCATTATGAGTCAGAACCAACTCCACAGTACATAACCACAACCATATAGATTGAATAAGTATGATGAAAGAATACAACCCTGGTGCACACCTTCACTGATTTTAAATCATTAGTATTTCCTTGCTCTGTTTGATTGACAATCTCTTGGTCTATGCATAGGTTCCTCATGAGCACCTGTATTCAAAATTAAGTGTCCTGAAATTCCTGTTCTTTGCAATATTATCCATAGTTTGTTATGGTCCACACTGTTGAATGCCTTTGCAAAGTCAATAGAGCACAAGTAAACATCTTCCTGGTAACTCTGCTTTTAACCAAGATCCATCTGATGTCAATAATGAGGTCACTCAGCTCCTTGTTGATGTACTGCTGTAATCATTTTTTAATTATCTTCAGCAAAATTTTAATTGCATGTGATATTAATGACAATGTTCAATGATTTCCACATTACATTGTGTCCCCTTTCTTTGCAATGGACACAAATATGGATTTCTTCCAATAGATTATTGAGGTAGCTGTTTTCCGAATCTCTTAGCGTAGACAAGAGAGCCCCACTAGCACTGCATGGTGGTGGTGGTGATATGCCGTGGAGTCGGTTCCGACTCATAGCAACCCTGTACAGGGTTTCCGAGTCTGTGAATCTTTACAGGAGCAGAAAGCCTCATCTTTCTTTCTCCTGTGGAACCGCTGGTAGTTTGTTAAAACATTTCAATTTGTAGTCCATCAACTTCTGGAACCTTGTTTATCACCAATGCCTTCAATACTTCTTTCTTCAGTACCATTGGTTCTTGATCATATGCTACCTCTTGAAATGGTTGAACATCAACTAATTTGTTTTGGTACAGTGATTCTGTGTATTTCTTCTGTCTTCTTTTGATGCTTTCTGCATTGTTCAATGTTTTGCCCATAGAATTCTTTGATTTTACAACCCGTTTGAATTTTTGATTCAGTTCTTTCAGCTTGAGAAATGTTGAGTGTGTTCTTCCCTTTTGGTTTTCTAATTCCAGATCTTTGCACATTTCATGATAAAACTTGACTTTGTCTTCTCTAGCTGCCCTTTGAAATTTTCTGTTCAAAAGGTTTACTTCATCATTTTTTTTCAGCCTTGTTAGCTTCTCTACATTCAAGAGTAAGTATTCATCTCTTCTTTGAGCTTTTCTTTCTTTCCTGTCTTTTTAATGACCTTTTGCTTTCTTCATGTATGATGCTCTTGATGTTATCCACAACTCCTCTGCTCTTTGGTTCATTAGTGTCTAATACAACAGATTTGTCCTTGAGATGATTTTCTAAATTCAGGTGGGATATACACAAGGTCTTATTTTTAATCTTATGGATTTGTTTTCATTTTCTTCTGCTTCAACCTGAACTTGCATATGAGCAATTAATGGTTTGTTCCACAGTTGGCCCCTGGCCTTATTTTGCCTGATGATAATGGGCTTCTCCGTGGTCTCTTCCCACAGATGTAGTTAATTTTATTTCTATGCATTCCATCTGGTAAGATCCATGTGTATAGTCGTCATTTATGTTGTTGAAAAAAGTATTTGCAATGAAGAAGTTGTTGGTCTTGCAAAATTCTATCATGGGATCTCTAGCATTGCTTGTCACCATGGTCATATTTTCCAAATACCAATTCTTCCTCTTTGTTTCCAGCTTTCACATTCCAGTTACCAATAATTATCAAAGCATTTTGATTGCATGTTTGATCAATCTCAAACTGAAGAAGTTGGTATAATTCTTCAATTTCCTCATCATTGGCTTTAGTAGTTTGCACATCAATTTGAATAATGTGGTATTGCCTGCTTTTCCTTGTTGTTGTTGTTAAGTGCTGTCAGGTCAGTTCCAACTCATAGTGACCCTGTATAGGGTTTCCAAGCAGTGACTGGTGAATTTGAACTACCAACCTTACAGTTCAAACAGTTCAGTGCTGGTCCTATAGCACCAGACCAGAACTTACTGTTGTTGTTGTTGTTAAGTGCTGCGAGTTGATTACGACCCATAGCGACCCGGTATACAGTTTCCAAGGAGCAGCTGGTAAGCTTGAACCACCAACATTGCAGTTCAAACGGCTTTGCAGTCTGGTGCATTAACCCACAGCGCCACACTCCAGAACTTCTTGTAGGTGTATGGATTATCCCATCACAGATATCACTGTATTTCAAGATGGATCTTGACATACTCTTTTTGACGAAGAATGTGACACCGTGTCTCTTTAATTTGTTGTTCCCAGTGTAGTAAACCATGTGATTGTCTGATTCAAAATCGCCAATACCTGTCCATTTCAGCATACCAATACTTAGGATATCAATCTTTATGAGTTCCATTTCATTCTTGAAGACTTCCAATTTTCTTAGATTCATACTTTGTATATTCCATGTCCCAATTATTAATGAATGAATGTAGCCGTTTCTCCTCATTTTGAGTTGTGCCCCATCTTCAAATGAAAGTCCTGAAAGCTTTGCTCCATCCACATCATTAAGGTTAACTTTGCTTTGAGGAGCCAGGTCTTGCCTGGACATAGTTTGAGTGCCTTCCAATGATGAGGAGGTTCATCTTCCGGCATCAGAACTGCATCAGACCATGTTCTTCTACTACTTATAAAGTTTTTAGCGGATAATCTTTCACTGTGAATGAGTTGGAACCGACTCGACAGCACCTACCAACAAGAACAAGCTTTCAGAAGTGCTCCGTCTCTCCCTTGTCCTAGTCTGTCTTAGTCTGGAAGTTCTGCTGAGACATGCCCACCATGGGTGACCCTGATGATAATTAAAATACTGATGAAACAACTTCCAGAATCACAGCAACACATAAACCACCACAGTACAACACATGGTGGTTAGTCTCTCTGCATTTGTTAATTCTGTTTCATATGTGTTCTTTTGTGACCGACTTATTTCACTTAGCATGTTTTCATGGTTCTTCCATGTTAAGTCATGTATCAGGACTTTCTTTCTCTTTAGAGCTGAGTGGTGTTCCATCGTATGGATGGACCACACTGTGTTTGTCCATTCATCTGTTGATGGACATTTCTGGGTTTTACCATCTCCTGGCTACTGTGAAAAATGCTGCAATGCACATTGGTGCCCAGGTTTCCATCTGCCTGCCTGCCTTCACTTCCCCTGGCACTGGGATGGCTGGGTTATATGGTGGGTCTATGTTCAACTTTTTGAAAAACCACCAAATGGTTTCCCACAATGTCTGCACCATTTTACATCCCACCAGCATTGGAAGAAGAATCTAATTTCTCCATAATCTCACCAACACCTGCTATTTGACATCTTTATTTTTATTTTTTATCATTGCTATTCTAATGGGAGTGAGGTAGTACCTCATTGTGGTTTTAATTTGCATCTTCTCCCCTTTTAACAAACAGATCAGGGTTCAGAGATGACATCTTGTGCAGGTGACAGGATTTATAACATAGTTGTTGCCTTTTTTTTCCCTGTCACCTTTGTTATGGCAAGGAGTCCTGAGTTCCCATTTAGAATAGTGTGGAAAGTTGCTCTCTCAATAAAGTAAATGTATTTGGGAAAGAAACAGAAGTTAATGTAAAGTACCATGTTAAGTAAATAATATGAGTTGAGTTAACAAAAACAGGGGCCACCTCTGGGTGTTTGGGAGACCTACTGGTACTGTCATACAAATACCACAAATGAGTAGCTTTGATAAACAGAAATATATCACCTCAACATTCTAGAGACTCAAAGTCCAAATCAAGGTCTCTACCATGCCAATTTCCTCCTTGTCAGTAGCCTTGGGATTCCCTGGCATTCCTTGGTTTGTAGATGATCCTCACTTGGCCTTTGTCCTCTCATGTGTGTTTGTGTCTATTCTAGTCTTTTTATAACTCAGAAAGGATGAGGTTTAGGACCCGCCCTATGCTGTCATGACCTCACCAATATGACAAAATAGGATGACTTTCACAGGTACAACCCATGTTTGGAGGTGGGAGGAAATGACACAATTCAATACTTAGTAGAGACCCTGACATGAATCATCCTGGTGTGTACTTTAGCCTGAAATGATGGGCGGATGATTCCCTATCCCATCTTAACTAAGAGTCACTAACAGTTCAGAGAGGGTCAGTGACTTACCTAGGTCACACTGTGGTGCAAAGGGCACAGTTCTCACCAGCACTCAAAGCTAACAGCAGAACAATTCAGTACTTCATTCAGCACACCCAAATGTTCCGTCTGTCCCTGACTCAATACTGACCAATGCTAGAGGCTGAGAAAAAATGAAGGCCTGGACCCTGCTGTGGACTGTCAGGGAGTTTCCATGTTAAGAACAAAAGAGACAACTAATTGAAATGTTGTGAAATAATGTGACTTTCAGGGTTTGTTTGATCCAACAACTCAACTCAGTACACCTTAAAAAAAAAAAAAATTGTTTTCTTGTAGAGTCCTGGTGTGGTGCTGTAGAATAAGCATTGGCCTACTAACCACAAGGTCAGCAGTTCAAACTCACCAACCGCTCCTTGGAAACCCTATATAGGTAGGTTGCTAATAGTCAGAACCAACTCAGCAGCATTTTACAGCAATAGCACACACAGTTTTAAAATTCATGGTTTCTACTCAGCTTCTACTATGTCTTTGTTTTGTTATTAAGTACTGTCCAGTCAGTTCCAACCCCTAGCGACTCTGTATAGGGTTTCTGAGGAGCAGTTGATGAGCTTGAAGCACCGACCTTGAGGTTCAAACTGACTTTGCAGCCCAGCGCATTAATACACAGAGCCACACCAGGGCCCTATGACCACATGAATTGCTCATTTGTGAAACGACACAGGAAAACAAAGGAGAAGAGACTGATGGAAACAGAGACAGACATATGGAGGCACAAAAAGAAAAAGCAAATGAGAATATCTCCCTCAACTCAAACGAAAAAGCACAGGCCTCTCTCTGATTGAACCGATGTCTTGAGCCTGGGGGGGGGGGGGATGCAACACACTGATTGACTCAATCCTGGATCAATCCCGACAGTCAAGGGTATGCCTGGGCTTCTGCTGATTGGTTCCTCTGCCCAGTTGCTAGGCAACCCCAATGTCCTCTGTATTCCCTTTCTCAATATCTACCTCCATTCTCTGCAGGGCGAGAAAAACCATGGCTTTGAGGTTCTTTACCACAGTGTGAAGCAGGGGCCCATCTCCACCAAAGAGCTGGCGGACTTCATCCGGGAGAGGTGAGACCTTAGGTCCCGCTCACCTCGTGGCCACATCCACAGTCCTTGGGCAATGCCTACTTACACAGCCCCACCGTGGCTACACCCACAGCACAACCTGCCCAGTCACAGCCATCCATGGTCATGTTGTGGCCAGGTTTGCCTCTCTCCCTGCCCACCCTGTTGCTGGTCACTCACCACCTTACCCTGGCCTACTCCACTTCAGACCCTGCCTTGCCTTATTCATATCCCTGGGACTCCAGAAACCAGAGGGACTTGGCTTACAACCAGCAATTCTCAACCGTGGGAGACCCAGTGTTTATTCTAGCCTTTTTATAACTCAACTGCCTGGTTTCTAACCTTCCCTGCCAAACTGAAATTCACAATGTAACCCACCTTCCTGGGGCAGGAGCTCTGGTAGCATGCTGGGGTATGAAGTGGGCTGTTAACTGCAAGGTCAGCATTCGAATCTACCAGCCACTTTCGGGGAGAAAGATAACGCTTTCTGCTCCCATAAAGATGACCTATATAGGATAGCCGTGAGTCGGAAGCCACTCACTCGCTGGCATATAACCACCACCTATGTGGGAAATATTAAAAAAAAAAAAAATCAATTCCATCATCATGGGTGATGAAAAATCTACATTGTAGCATATAAGTGGCTCAGATACCCTTATTTCAGTAAACATTAAAATAAACTAGTCAAAAGCAGCTTCCGCTTCCTCTCCCGCACAGGAGCTGAATGCCTGGAAACTATCCCACATCTTTTAAATCCTTGGTGCTCCTGGGTGGGGCAAACAGTTAATGCACTTGGTTGCTAACCAAAAGGTTAGAGGATCAAATCCAACCAGAAGCACCTCAGAAGCAAACCCAGATTTCTGAAACATCAGCCACTGAAAACCCTATGGAGCAGTTCTCCTCTAACACATGGGGTTGGCATGAGTCGGAACCAACTCGGTGGTAACTTGTTATTAAATCCATAGAAATCCTTGGATGGCACCAATGTTTAACCTATTCAGCTGCTAAGTGAAAGGCTGAAGGCACCCTGAAAATGTCAGTCCTTGAAAACCACAGCACAGCTCTGCTCTGACTCACATGGAGCCAGTATGCATTGGGGTCAGTTCAATGTGTCTCCTTTGACCACAAAGGAGCAAAAGAACATATGAACTTGTCTTATTTCATTAAACAAGCCAAACCATATAAAGTTCTTGTTGCTAAGTGCCATCGAGTTGGTTCCAACTCAGAGCAACCCTGTATTGGGTTTCTGAGGAGCACCTGGTGAGTTTGAACCACTGACCTTGCTATTCAAACCAACTTTATGGTCAAGTGCTTATCTTGCAGCGCCACACCAGGACTCCAAACCATATGAAACACCTTATAATATGTGCTCAGAAAACATGGTAGCTCCTGCTGCTCATGCTATTACTGTTGTTAATAAAATATATTACTAGGGCAGGAAAGAAAACACTTCCATGCATTTTCAGTGCGTCCTGGAGTGGTGCTGCAGGAAAAGCACTGGACTGCTAACTGCAAGGTAAGTGGTTCAAACCCACCAGCCACTCATTGGATACCCTATACAGGCTCGCTTGATAGTACTTAACAACAACAACATGAATTTTCAACCCCACACTCCTCCCTCCACAACGAACTGTATTACCCTTAGATGGATCCCTTCTGTGTGTTGAAGTTGGGGAGTCTGAGGCTGGGGATGATGTCTCTCCCAAGGATACTCCATTCTTTTTCTCCATCCTCCCACCCAGGGCCACCATTGAAGAGACCTACTCAAAGGCAATGGCAAAACTCTCCAAGCTGGCCAGCAATGGGACCCCCGTGGGGTGAGTAGGCTGTTGTGGGGCAAGGGTCATCCAGGTGGCTGTGTGTCTGGGTGTGCTGGGCACCCCCTGGGATGTGGACAATTTCTCCACACTGTGAACATGTGAGCATGTCATCCCCTACAGACTGATGGGGTCACTGGAAAGAGAAACACATGTCAGACATTCACTTCATGGATCATTCATTCCACAAATATTGACTGTGTCAGAAGCAGAGCACATGGTTAAGCCTTTGACTTCTAACAAAAAGGTTGGCAGTTTGAACCCACTCAGAGGTGCCTCAGAAGGAAAGGCCTGGCAATCTGCTTCCCAAAAGTTGTAGCCTTGAAAGCCTGATGGAGTCAGCAGGAGCCAGAATCAACTCTTGGGGATGTTGGGTTTAGTGTGTGCCAGGCGTCATTCTAGGCACTGGGGGCCCAGCAGCAGCCAAGACAGAGAAGATTCTCACGTACATCTGGAGTGTCTGAGGCAACAGATGTTAAATACTACCATGAACAAAGTTCTTTCCCAGAGTGCAAAGTAGTAGGAGGCAATGAAATAGGTGGTGTGCTGAGCTCAGACTTAACCAGAGAAGGAACTGGCCAAGGGCAGTGTCTGGGAGAACTGAGTCTGGTGGTCCAGCCAGTGACCTGGGGCAGCAAAACACTTGGCCTCTTCAGAGAAGAACCTGGAAGCTGGTGTGGCTGCAGGGCCTGGGGAGGGGTCGATGAGGACACTGATGGCTTTCTGTGGCTACCATGGGGCAGAGGTTTTCTCAGGGACAGGAAGGGAAGGCAGAAGGGGAGTTCCAAGGGGAATTCTGCTGTGGTGGGAAGATCAGGTTAGCACTGTTTGGGGGGAAGGACTTGACCTCCATGAGCAAGCAGAGTCTGAACCCACTCCACTCCACAAACATGTGGGACCTAAAAGTCCAGGAGCTAGGGTGAGGGCTGGGGGCCTCATGGCCTAGGGTGAGTTTTGGAATCCCTCCTGCCTCGGTTTCTCCATATGTCACAGACTCCCCACACACACACAAACGTTGTGGTAGGGCCTTTAAAATGGCCTCTTTAATAGTAGGACCACGTGCATAGGAGGCCCGAGTGATGCCTGAGAAAACTGGGGGGAGGGGACTCAGCCCTGAGCCTTTGGTGTGGTCCTGCCCCACTGCAGGACCTTTGCCCCACTCTGGGAGGTTTTTCGTGTGTCCTCGGACAAGCTGGCGCTCTGCCACCTGGAGCTGACCCGGAAGCTGCAGGACCTCATCAAGGATGTGCTGCGGTACGGCGAGGAACAGCTCAAGACATACAAGAAGGTGCGAGCCGCTTTGCGGTGGTGGGGGGATGGGGCTCCGGCGGGGGGAGGTAGGGGGTTGGGACATAAGCAGCTCAAAATTCTGGTGTCTTTAATCTTTCAACCTCTTGTGTGTGGGTCTGAGAATTCTGTGAATCCTGGAACATCCATCCCATAATCTCACAGATTTGAGCATTATAGGATTTCAGATCCTTAATTCTCAACCAGGGCTTCTGCAAACTACAGATTGTGGGCCAAATCTGACCTGCCTCCTGTTTCTGCAAGGGCTTTTGCGCTAAAAATGGACTTGACGTTTTTAAGTGGTTGGAGAAAAAAAAATCAAAAGAAACCTTATTTTGAGACACCTGGAAATGATACAACATTCATAATTCAGGGTCTGTAAATAAAGATTTAGTGGCACAGTGTCATGGTAATGTACATATTTAGTAAGCCATTTGGACAAGAGACTGTATGGCCCGAAAAGCCAAAAATACTAGACTATCTAATCTAGATATTTGGAAGTTTCCAATTTTGATATTTCCCAAACCTAGAATCACTGAATATCTAAGCCTTAGACCAGGGGTGGGAACCTTTTTTCTGCCGAAGTTTACAATATCATTCACAGGCTATACAAAATTATTAACTTTAAAAATTAACCTAGTACATTTGGTCAAACATTTAATTAACTCATCCCTAATGTGATGACTGGAGCTGCGGTTGCCTTGGCAGGGCCAGACCAAATGATTTCATGGGCCCGTGTATGGTGCTGTGGTATAAAGCACTGGACTGCAAAGTCGATTTGAACCACAAGGGCAGCAGTTTAAACTCACCAGCCGCTCTTTGGAAGCCCTATACTGGGTCACTATGAGTTGGAACGGACTCAATGGCACTTAATAGCAACAACAATATGACCCGCAGTTTCCCAACCCCTACCTTAGAACTTTATTGTTGAGTCCTAGTGTGGCACTATAGGATAAGCACAGGACTGCTAACCACAAGGTCAGCAGTTCAGACCCACCAGCCGGTCCTTAGAAACCTTTTACAGGGGCACTAGAAGTCAGAACCACCATTGGTCTGTCAGACTTACATACTGTGGTGTTTTACATGTTGCTGTGATTCTGGAAGCTTTGTCACTGATATTTTAAATAACAGCAGGTTCAGCCATGGTGGACAGGTTTTAGCTGTGCTTCCAGACTAAGACAGACAAGGAAGAGTAAGAGGCAAACTACTTCTGAATGGTTAGCAACTGAAAACTTTATGAATAGCCGTGCAATGAACATTGTCAGATACAGTGCCGGAAGAAGGCACCATTATGAATAGCACCACAGTACTGTCAGATATAGTGCCAGAAGATGAGCCCCTCAGGTTGAAAGGTATTCAAAATACTGCTGGGGAAGACCTGTTGGTCAAAGTTGAGCTGACCATGAAAACATGAATGGAGTAAAGCTTCTGGGATCTTCATTTGCTGATGGGGCACAACTCAAAATTAAGAGAAACTGCTGCAAACATCCAGTAATAAATGGAACATGGAATGTATGGAGTATGATTCTAGGAAAATTACAAGTTCTCAAAAATGAAATGGAACTCATAAAGATTAATAACCTGGGCATTAGTGAGATGAAATGGACTAGTATTGGTCATTTTGAATCAGACAATCACATGGTTTACTATACTGGGAACAACAAATTCAAGAGGAATGGTGAGGCATTCATCATCAAAACGAGCATTTCAAAATCTGTCTTGAAGTACAACACTATCTGTGATAGGATAATATCCATACCCCTACAAGGAAGACTAGTTAATACCACTATGATTCAAATTTACATACCAGTCACTAACGCCAGTGATGATGAAACTGAAGAATTCTACCAACTTCAGTCTGAAATTGTGCAACATGCAATCAAGATGTATTGGTAATTACTGGTGATTGGAGTTGGAAGGTTGAAAACAAAGAGGAAGGGTCAGTAGTTGGAAAATGTGGCCTTGGTGATAGAAATGATGCTGGAGATCACATGATAGAATTTTGCAAGACCAGTGACTTCATCATTACAAATACCTTTTTTTGAAACATAAAAGGTAATTAATTATCCACCAGGACCTCACCAGATGGAATGCACAGATATCAAATCGACTACATCTGTTGGAAGAGAGGGTGGGAAAAGCTCCATATCGTCAGCCAAAACGAGGCCAGGGGCCCACTGTGGAACAGACCATCATTTGCTCATATGCAAATTCAGGCTGAAGCTGAAGAAAATGAAATTTTTAAATTTAAAATTAAAACATGAGACCCAAAACAAGACCTTGAACGTATCCCACCTGAATTTAGGAACCATCTCATGAACAGATTGGATGCATTAGATACTAATGACCAAAAATCAGAGGAGTTGTGGGATGACATCAAGAACGACATACATGAAGAAAGCAAAAGGTCATTAAAAAGACAGGAAAGAAAGAAAAGACTAAAATGGATGTCAGAAGAGACTCTGAAACTTGCTCTCCAGCACAAAGATGCTAAAGCAACTGTAAGAAATGAGGAAGTAAAAGAGCTGGACAGAAAATTTCAAAGAGCAGCTCAAGAAGATATTGTTGTTGTTGTTGTTGTTAAGTGCCATCGAGTCGGATCCGACCCATAGCGACCCTGTACAGGGTTTCTGAGGCTGTAAATCTTTACGGGAGCAGAACGCCTCATCTTTCTCCCGCGGAGCAGCTGGTAGTTTCGAACTGCTGGCCTTAAGGTTCACAGTCCGATTCGTAACCACTACGCTACCAGAGCCCTCTCAAGAAGATATAGGCAGGTACTATAATGAAATGTGCAAAGACCTGGAGTTAGAAAACCAAAAGGGAAGAACATGCTCAGCCGTTCTCAAGCTGAAAGAACTGAAGAAAAAATTCAGCTTCAACTGGCAATACTGAAGAATTCCATAGACAAAATATTGAACAATGCAGAAAGCATTATTAATAATGCAGAACATTATAAATACTCAACTGTTTCAAGAGGTAGCATATGATCAAGAACCAGTGGTACTGAAGGAGGAAGTCCAGCTGTGCTTAGGGTATTGGTGGGAAAACATGGCTCCATGAATTAAAGGAATACCAACTGAAATTCTTCAACAAATTGATGCAGTACTGGAGACACTCATTCATCTGGGCCAAAAAATTGGGAAAGACGGCTACCTGACCAACTGACTAGAAGAGATCCATATTTGTGCCCATTCTAAAAACAGATGACCCAATGATATGTGAACATTGAAAAATATTAATATCACATGTAAATAAAATTTTATTGGAGATAATTAAAAAATGGCTGCAACAGTACATTGATAGAAATTTGCCAGAAATTCAAGCCAGATTCAGAAGAAGATGTGGAATTAGAGATATAACTGCTTATGTCAAATGAATTTTGGCTGAAAGCAGAGAATATCAGAAAGATGTTTACTTGGACTTTATTGACTACATAATAAAGACTTTCAACTGTGTGGATTCTGACAAACTATGGATAACATTGCGAAGAATGGGTATTCCAGAACACTTAATTATGCTCCTGAAGAACCTGTACATAGACCAAGAGGGGATTTGTTGTTGTTAAGTGCCATCGAGTCAGTTCCGACTCACAGTGACCTGACCTTGCGGTCCAGTGTTTGTCATACAGCACCACACCAGGACTCCAAAAAGGGGATGCTGGAGGTTTTTAAATCAATAAAGCTATGTTTCAGGGCTGTATTCTTTCACCATACTTAGTCTGTATACTGTGCAAATAATCCAAGAAACTGGATTATATAAAAAATGTGGTATTAAGATTGGAGGAAGATTCATTATCAATCTGCGATATAGATTTGATACAACCTTGCTGGCTGGAAGCAAAGAACTTAAAATATTTGATTGCACTTCAATAAAAAGAAAACAAAAGTCTTCAGGACTGGACCAATAAATAACATGGAGAAAAGACTGAAGTTGTCACAGACGTCATATTGCTAGACTCCACTACCAACACTCATGGGAGCAGCAGTCATGAAATCAAACGACATATTATTGCATTAGACGGAGTACTGGTGTGGCACAATGGGTTAATGCTCTGGACTGCAATGGGTTAATGCTCTGGACTGCAATGGGTTAATGCTCTGTATTGCAAAATCAGTTTGAACTGCAAGGTAGGTAGTTCAAGCTCAACAGCTGCTCTTTGGAAACCTTATACAGGGTCACTATGGGTCAGAACTAACTCGACTGCACTTAACAACCAAAAAATTGCATTGACAAATCTGCAAAAGACCTCTTTAAAGTGTTCAAGAGCAAAGATAACAGTTTTGAGGACTAAGATACTCATGATCCAAGTCATGGTATTTTCAATAGCTTCAAATGCATATGAAAGTTGGACAATGAATAAGGAAGACCACAGGAGACCCGATGCATCTGAATTACGGTGTTGGAGAAGAATATTGGCAGTCCCACGGACTTCCAGAAGAACAAGCATCTCTGTGTTGGAAAAAGTACAGCCAAAATGCTCCTTAGAAGCCAGGATAGCAAGACTTTGTCTCTTATACTTCAGACATAGTATCAGGAGGGATCAGTCTCTGGAGAAAGACATTATGCTTCATAATGTGGAGGGTCAAAGAAAAAGAGGAAGACCCCTTCCCCTGCCCCCCACCCCCACCCCCATGACATGGATTGGCACAGTGGCAGCAGCAATCGGCTCTGTTGTAGCAATAGTTATTCAGATGATGCAAAACCAGGCAGTGGTTTATTCTGTTGTGCATATGAATCCACAGGGTCACTATGAGTTAGAACTGACTCGATGGCATCTAACAACAACAGACCTTGTTTGGTGCCGTAAAGTGGATTCCAACTTGTAGCAGTCCCATAAAACAGAATAGAACTGCCCTCTATAGTTTCCTAGGCTGTAAATCTTTATGGGAAAAAAATTGCTAAGTCTATTCTGTCTGGTTAGCTTAATACTGCTGCACCAGGGTTCCTGGGAGGATCCTAAAATACTCAAACCTTATTCTAGCATCAGAGTGAAACTTGACAGTCATTATAAAAGGAGATAGAGAAGTACCCCGGTGATGCAAATGAGTAATGTACTTGACTGCTGACCATAAGGTTGGAGGGTTGGATCCACCTAGAGGCACCTCTGAGGAAAGTCATGGAGATCTGCTTCCAGAAAAGTCAGCCATAGGGATGCCGGGCTGAGGGAAGAGAGTGTGGATTGACAGGGAGGCGGGGAAAAAGAAAAAAGGGCTTTTTCTATGGGCTGATGTGAAACAATTTCAGCATGGATTATTAAGTGGCAACAGTAATGAATAAAATAGCACGGGCTTCCCACCATGTGTGATTTAAAAAGAGGTACAAGAACAAACACATTTGCTTGTCTGAGTGCTGATGATTTCCCGAGAAGGGAAACGGTAACGAGTGGAGCGCTCAGGTGCAGTGGGGGGAGGGTGACCATGGGAGGGTGAATATGGGTCAGAGTGAAGCCCCTAGGGACTGGGTTTACAGCTCAGTTCTTACCCGCATGCGCTGAAGGACCTTGGGTGAGTTACAGACCTGAGCTTCCAGAGCCTGGCTTTCTTTATCTGTCACAGGTCCACTTCCTAAATTGCGATGGGATACCTGAGTCATGTCTGAGGGGATTAGGTGAAGTCAGGGTGCAGACGGCTTCTTCCTGGGCTTACCCCTAAGTGCTTACCAAAATTTAAGTCATGTAAAGACATTACCTATTACAAAATTAATTTAAAAAATAATAATAGAAAACAACAACAACAAAAAAATGAGTTTGTGGACTTGGAATCCCACAGTGAATGGTTTGCAAAGCTGGGAATTTTACAGTTGTTGCCTCGGGTCCCTCAAGCTCAGAGCCCCATTGTGGCATCAACACACCCCTCTCTCTGCCCCGCAGTGCAAAGAGGAAGTGGTCGGCACCTTGGATGCGGTGCAGGTCCTCGCAGGTGTCAACCAGCTGCTGCCCAAATCTCGTGACAACTACCTGAACCGCTGCATGGACCAGGAGCGCCTGCGCAGAGAGAGCACTAGTCAGAAGGAGATGGATAAGGTGGGCTTTGGACACAAGGTCCTGCCAGAGCCTCAGGGATTGACAGGGGAGAGGGCCAGCCTGTCAGAGATGGGAGATGAAAACATATCACAAAGTGGTAGTCATTGAACCTGTGTGTAGATCTAGGTGTGCCAAGTGCCCACCTACCAGGGGACAGGACCATGAATGTCCCCCTCCTGGTCCTGACACCTCTGTGTGCCTCCTAGGCAGAGACCAAGACCAAGAAGGCAGCAGAGAGCCTGAGGCGCTCGGTGGAGAAGTACAATTCAGCTCGGGCGGATTTCGAGCAGAAGATGCTGGATTCAGCTCTGGTAAGAATCAGATGTTAGAGCCTTTGAGATGTATACATTCTTCAGCTCAGGATGCTGTGAGCCTCAGAATTCCAGAACTTCTGAAACCCTCAGCTCTCAGGATCCTTAAAAACACAGGCTCAGAACCACCATCTTCTAGAATCTGTTAGCTATTGTTGTCATTGTTATTTCCAAAGCCAGATAATTTTGTGTCTCAAGTCTCCCCACCTACAAAACAGACAGAAATGTTACCTATTTCATAGGGATGTTGTGAAGATTAAATGAATCGCTATGTGAAGTTCTAGAGTTCTGAGAGGTACAGATGGTCAATGTGCTCCGCTGCTAACTGAAAACTAAAGAAGAAAGACTTGGTGATTTACTTCCTAAAATATTAGTCATTAAAAATGCCATGGAGCACAGCTGTATTCTGACACACTGGGCTCTCACCATGAGTTGGAATCAACTAGACAGCAATTGTTGTTTTTCATGTGAAGTTTTCAGACCAGTACTGGGTGTATGGAAACTATTCTATGAATCTCACTATTATTATCATTCCTGTTATTGCTGATGAGGACTTTAAACAAGACAGGGCAGAGTTTGGAAATGGAGAGTTTCCTAACCTTTCCTGGTGGCTGGAAAGCCTAGGTTTGGTCCAACTTCCATCTCTCAACCAACTGTGTGAACTTGTGCAAAACTCTGCACCATTTTGGATTTAGGGCTTTAAATGGTGTTGGCAGAAAGCTGTACTCTCTCAGATGTTTCTCAGGCGTGTTTTCCTTCTTGGGGACTTCACTCCCTGGCAGACATGTCCTCCTGAGTATTTGTATGTTGGGAGCATGTATGTGCAGTCACATGCAGCAGAACAGACACTGACAGCTCCAGCGTATATCCATCCCACCAACCCACTGGCTCAGGGAATGAAAATGTCTCTTTTCCCATAGCGCCAGTAAAAGTCTCACAGCAGACTCTCATTGGCTGTTCCTCAAATCAATCAAGTCCAGGGGCATGCAATGTTCTGATTGGTCAGCCTGGGTCACATGGCCGGAGACCTGCCTGACTTTTCCGTTTGCCCATCCCCTTTTGTATTAGCGCTTCCAAGCCATGGAAGAGACCCATTTGAGGCATATGAAGGCACTGCTGGGCTCCTATGCCCACTCAGTGGAGGATACCCATGTGCAGATTGGGCAGGTGAGTTGGGCCAGAGGTGGGGGTAGTGAGGCTGGGGTTCTGGGCAGGGGGGTCCTGCCTGGTCACATGCTCCACCTACCTGGCCCAGGTCCACGAGGAGTTTAAGCAGAACATAGAGAATGTCAGTGTGGAGATGCTGCTCAGAAAGTTTGCAGAAAGCAAAGGCACGGGCCGGGAGAAGCCAGGTAAGTCTGGGCCTCAAGAGGCAGGAGGTTGAACCTCCTGGACCTCAATGTCCTCACAAGAAAAATGGTCTCATGACAAGTCCAACTCAACAGCCTACCTAAGTCTTATGTGTAAATCTTTTAGAACTGGATCCAGAGGGGCCTGGAGTGCTGGGCTCAGCTATTCAGACTTTATCATGGGGTCCAAGGGAGCCACTGAGGGTTGTTGAACAAAAGGCTAGTTTGAGGGAAATGCCGGGAATGAGTTGAAGGCAAAAGTTTTGGAACCAGACTGTGATTCAAGTCTTTTTTGCACCACTCACCGTGTGACCTTGGACAAGTACCTTGACCTCTCTGAACATCCGTTTCCTCGTCTGTAAATTGGGGGTGACAATAATCCCCACCTAATTGAGTCCTGGTGTGGCACTGTAGGATAAGCACTGAACTGCTAACCACAAGGTCAGCAGTACAAATACACCAGCCTTTCCTCAGAAACCCTATACAGAGTTGGAATCGACTCGACGGCACTTAACGAGAAGCAACAGTGTTGTAAGCAGTCAGTAATTTGACGTAAATGGGCAGACACTCAGTACTGGCATACAGACTGTGGCCCCAGGTCAAGCGTGTTCCCCAGGTTGACCCTTTCTCCTTGTGTCTCTATGGCTCAGTCTCTTCCCTGTGGGCCACCCCCTAGCCCACTCTTATCCTTCAATGGCGCACATCTATCATGTCCTATCCTTGGCTCACACACCTTCCATGACTCCCCATTGCCCTTGGAAAAGAGTCTCAGATCCAAAACATGCACTCAAGACGTAGCTCACTGCACAGACTTATTGCCCACCCCCACCCCAGCCATGTACCCCCCAGAGATGCTAGAAATGGAAGTTCTGGCCCCAGTGATTGCTTTGGGGAAGAACCAGTGAAAATCTGCCCTGGACCTTTTACTGAAGCAGTGGTACTGTAGGATAAGCTCTGGTCTGCAAGGTTGGTTTGAACCACAAAGTCGGAAGTTTAAACCCACCAGCTATTCTCAGAAACCCTATACAGGGTTACTGTGAGTCAGAACTGACTCAACGGCACTTTAACAGCGACTAGTAAAAAAGACATTGTCATTCCCCAAGTCATTGAGCTGGTGGCATGTAACTCAGGGATCACTCATGCCAGCCTATCCAGCTGGAACTGGAGCCCACCACTGAGCCCACCCCACTCATGATGACAAGTCAAGCTGGTTCACCAGCTCAGTTCTTGTTCTTGAGTCAGCTGCCATATGTGGCCATTAGCTTATCACTGCCCTTCCCAGAAGTCAGTCTCTCTGCCTGGTTGTTTCTTAATATCCTCTGCCCTAGGACCCTTGGACTTCGAGACGTACAGTGCAGCTGCCTTGCAGGAAGGCAAGTATGTCTGGGCCTGGGTGCCCAGGCTAGACAGACCAGAGGGGTGAGGGAGGCAGGTCTGCAATGGAGAGGTGGCACCTCCCAGGACTCAGCGGCTCCTCCCCATCTCATCAACAGCAATGAAACGTTTGAGGGGAACCAAGGCCTTTCGCCTTCCAGGACTGAGCCGGAGGGAGCGGGAGCCTTGTGCAGCCATGTGAGAAAGCAAAGCTTTCTGGCCTAGCCCTGACCCAGGCTAGCCTCGAATCCCCTCTCCTGCCCAGGCTAGCCCATTAGTCTCCTGCTTAGCCCTGGAGTACTTCTGTCCTGGGCTAGCTCCAATTACCTCTGCCCAAGCTAGTATGGAATTCTTCTTTTAGCTAAGGCTAGGCCGTGAGCTACCTGTTCCAGAATAGCCTAGGACGACCCCTGCAGCGTAACCTAGCCCAGGATTCTTCCTTTGCCAAGGCTACCTCTGCGTTTCTTCACCAGCAATTCCTGCTTGGCCAAGGAAGCCCCAAGAGTCTGGTCAGACAGCGAAGCCTTCTTCATCCGCCAGATTCTTCCATATGTTCATGTTTTCCCAGGCTAGCCCAAAAGTTCCTTGTCTATATCAGCCCAGAATTACCCCTGACCCGTCTAGCCTAAGATTCCACCCTTTGCCAAGGCTAGTCCGCTCATTTGCTACCTTCTTGGTCCAGCCCTGTAAGACACCCTGTGCTTGAGCTGTTGTCAGGTTCATTCATCCTAGTGAGCCCAGAGTGCTGCCTCCTCCAGGGCTAGCTCAGGACAGTAGTGCTGCCCAGGGGACTCCACCAGGGGCCATGCTCATTGTTGTGGGGGATGGGGTGGGGGTGGGGAGGATGAGATGAACGAAGCCAACACTCACTTCTCTTTCTCCATTCCCAGAGACTCTGGGGAGCCCGATTCAGGGGTGAGTGCCTTGGGAGGGGCTGTGTGTGGGAGGGATCCAGTCTTACCCTTGGACCCCCAACCCTGGAGCCCAGGTTGGACACCAAAGCCTTAAGTTTGAGGGGTTAGAGATGGTACAGCGTAGGGAACCAGGTCAAATCCTGCTTTTGGCCATGTGGAAGAGACTGACATCCCACTCTAACTTCAGTTTACCCCATGGTCACAGCCCCTTAGGATGTGCAGGGGCATCTGTTCCCCAAGAACCTGCCCTTACACTGGGCAAATTAGTTATTCCACTGGGGTTTTTTGAAGTACGAATCATCTGGAAGTGGGGCGGGGCAGGGAGAGATGGGGATTGAAGAAGGATCGAAGACGGGGCAGAAGAAGGATTGACCCACTTGTCCTCCCCCCAGACGTGTCCAGAGGTGGATGAAGAAGGCTTCACCGTGCGACCAGATGTGACCACAAACAATATCCTTCTATTGCCCCCTGGGGAGTGATTGTTGCACAACAAAGACAAAGTTCTAAGATCAGTCCACTATTAACAACCCTCTCTGTGGGAGCCCTGGGTTGGACCCTGCTAGCTCCACCCCGTGTTGAAGAGACATCCACTTTGCCTGTGGGGTTAGTTTTTGATAAGAGGGAGTAAAGGGAGCTGGGTTATTCCCAGAAGTGGAATATGGCTCCCTGGAAGTTAGCAACTAAATAGGAGCTTACCAGTTAAAGGCAGACATGAGTTGTGCAAAGGCTTGGATAAGTGCCAAAAACATGGTGTCAGGATTGAGGGTGGCAGGTAGTGAGAGCTAGACTGGTGCAGGTCGTTGGAGGGAGCATGCTTGGACTGATCAGCCCTGTGCTGGGATCTGCTTGGCCCCTTGACAATAGAGCACGCACAGCTGAGCCCTCCCGCTTTTCATCCAGTGACTCTGATTTCGATGATGACGAGCCCCGAAAGTTCTATGTGCACATCAAGCCTGCCCCGGCCCGAACCCTGGTCTGCAGCCCCGAGGCAGCTGCGGCACAACTCAGGGCGACCGCGGGCAGCCTCATCCTGCCTCCTGGCCCAGGGGTACGGCCTGGAAGAGATGCTCTGGGGAGGGCTTGGGGGGCTGGCTGGATGCAGCTATGCCTGATGCCACCATGCCCTTTGTTCACAGGGCACCATGAAACGCCATTCTTCACGTGAGTAGCCTATTAGGAAAAGGAGACTGGGGTGCAGGTATGGGTTCAAATCCCAGGTCTCCTATGTGACTTGGGGCAGGCAGCTTTACTACTTGGACCCTCAGGCTCTTCTGTAGAATTCGAGCATTGTAAGAATGAAGTGAAAGTTGAATTGTTAAAGGGCAGCAGGGCCCAGGGAGAAAACCGAAACCTGGAGGCAGAGTGGTTGGGGTTTGAATTCCTCTCTGCCTTGGGCAGCTGGGTTGACAGTTCCTCAGCCTTGGTCCCAAAGTCTATGGAGTGTACCCAGGGCCAGGGTACAGGGAAGGCTCAGCAAGGTACATCTGTCATAGGGGATGCTACTGGGAAACCACAGAGACCTCGATCTGCCCCAAGGACTAGCAGGTGAGTTCCATGGGGAGGGGGGATATGAGGTCAACACAGGTGAGCAGGTAGAGACCACTCTGCCACCTCCCACCAAGTCCCCCACTGCCTCCCACGTCTCCACCTCCCTCTCTCTAACCCGGGCAGGGAATTACCACTTTTGCACCATGTTTTAGGCAATGTTTGAACCTCTGGGATGTAGTAGGTTGGGTGTTACCAAGACAAGGCCAACCTTTCCAAAGTTACTTTCTCATGGTTCAGATTTTAAAACTAGTAACTAGATTACAGGATATTTGATACTGCTCATTGCTGAGGGGAGTGTGGTGGCTCAGTAGGATAAGCACTGGACTGTGAACCACAAGGTCAGCACATCAAGCCCACCAGCCGCTTCCTAGGAGAAACATGAGGCTTTCTGCTCCCACAATGATTTGCAGCCTCGGAGACCCTATACAGGGTCACTGTGAGTCAAAACCAACTAGATGGCACTTAACAACAAGTGCTATGAAGCCACTCGAGCAGGCACTGGGGGAGAGATTAGGGACGGCTTTAACTAGGCCAAAGCTGGGGTGGGGGCCTCTCTGTGGGGATGACAATCGTTTGAGCTGGGCCTGAAAGAGCAGAGAGTGGCTGTTGAGGAGAGCCAGGAACAGAACTCCAGACAGGGAACAGTACTTGCAAAGGCCTTAAGGTGGGATGGAGGCCTCTCATGGCCACCCTGTCCCCCAGCTGTGCAGAAAAGCCGCTGTCAGAAGAGCAGTTTTCCAAGAACCTCTTTGGGCCACCCCTTGAGTCAGCCTTTGACCACGAAGATTTTACAGGTGATGGGGGCTTTGCAGGCCTGGGAGTGGCCAGCTATAGGGAAGATGAAGTCCTTTGTGACCAATGGGAAGATAGGCGGGTCCGTGGGAGAGTGGGTGGGGCCACATTGCAATGGGTGTGGCTCTGGGGAGGGGTGGACTTGTATGGGAGTGGTTGCTGACAAATGGGACAGTGGTGGAGATGGAAATGACCGGAGGGCATGGCCTGGGGGGAGTTGGGCAGAGGCTCTGAATGGGGGCGGGCCTTTCCTGAAGGTAAGTGTACTTGGCATGAAGGTGGGCGGGACCTGGCACTGATAGTCCCTCCCCTCCACCAGGGTCCAGCAGCCTGGGCTTCACCTCAAGCCCCTCCCCCTTCTCCTCCTCATCACCTGAGAACGTGGAGGACTCCGGCCTCGACTCCCCTTCCCATGTGGCGCCTGGTCCCTCCCCAGACTCGTGGATACCCCGCCCGGGTACCCCGCAGAGCCCACCAAACCGGAGGGTGCTGCCTCCCGAGTGTAGGGGGGTGCGGGCCCTGCCACGGCCTGATTCACCACAACCCCTCGCAGCATCCCCGGGTCCCTGGGGGCTGGATGCCGTGGCTGGAGGAGGTGAGTCCAGCGACCCTGTGTCTGAGGGAGAGGCAGAATTGAGCACCTCTGGGGTGCTGGGGACACAGCTGGGCACAGAAAACCCCACCCATTGGAGCAATAATAGTGTCATTATTTAGCAGTTCAGGGTAAAGCAGATACAGGGTGAGGGGTGGTTGAGGAGGTGACATCTGACATCTGGGCTGAAGGAGGTGAAAGGAACCAAGCAGATATTGGATTGGGACTTCCTGGGTGGAGAACACAGCCCTGCAAAGGCCCTGGGGTCAGAGCCAGCAGGTGAGTTTGAGGAGCAGCCTCACAGCCTGTGTGACTGGGAAGAGGGGATGGAGATAGAAGTGGGGGCTAGGGAGGAAGATGCTGGGTGAGAGCAGGTAGAATAGAGGCCTCCTTGGGCAGCTACTATAGGAAGGTGTTAGCCAAAGCAGAAGGAGCAGCCAGGGAAGTGGGAGGAGAGACCCAGGGGTGAAAGAGTGAGGTCCCTGAGTCAGAGGGACTGTCTGTTATGACCAAAGATGGTAATATGGGTGGTTGGGGCCATGGTTGGGGAAGAAGTCTAGTTGCAGTGGGTTCAAAGGAGGACCAGGTAGCGAGGGTAGCCCACACGGGCAGACGATTCCCTATAGACAAGTCAGCTAACTTCCACAACTTGGAGTGGTTCTCCACAGGGTTGATTCTGACCTGTCAGGAGAGAGTTTTGATTGTTTTAACTAGAGGGAAATGAGCCCTGGTTGTGCTGTGGGTTAAGCATTGGACTGCCAATCATAAGGTCAGTGGTTCAAACCCACCAGCCCTTTGTCCCACCAGCCCTTTGTGGGAGAGAGATGAGGCTGTCTGCTTCCATGAAGATTTACAATCTCAGAAACCAGTATAAGAACGCTATGAGTCAGAATCAACTCAATGATGTTGTTGTTATATGCCGTGGAGTCGGTTCCGACTCATAGCGACCCTGCACAGGGTTTCCGAGGCTGTTAATCTTTACGGGATCAGAACGCCTCATCTTTCTCCCGCGGAACCGCTGGTAGTTTCGAACTGCTGACCTTATGGTTCGCAGCCCAATTTGTAACCACTACGCTACCAGAGCTCCTTGATAGTCAGTTGGATTTGGTTTGGTTTGGTTTGTGAGAGAGGGCGTTTGTTGCTGCTGGTATCAAGAGGGTGGAGACCAGAGGTGCAAAGTACAAGCCAGTCCCAATACAAACACCAGCATTGCTGGGAGTGAGAAACTCCGAGGTAAACGGGAAGCAGACTGGGGTGCTGAGGAGGAGGCAGGAGGTGAGCATGTGTAGATAAAGCAGCCAAGGGCAGGGGGCACTGGAGAGGCAGGAAACCAAGGGAGTCTGGGTGTCACACCATGATAACGCTGTTATCAAAGAAGATTTGGCACTGGCCAGGGTAAGTGACCATTTTCACTCTTAGAGAGGAAAGAGATCACATCATCAATGAGTGTTAGATTACAATTCTCTGCAGAATACCCCTGTAGCGTATCTGCTTCCAATGTAGACTCATTCAGCCTTTGCTTGATTATCCCCAGTGATGGGGAGCTCACCCCCTATAGTCTGTCTTCCTAGTGACTGGAAGGCTCAAGACTGTGGATGGGGTTTGTCATCCCGTCTAGCACCTTCTCTGTAGTACCTTTCCATCCAGACCCAAAATATCACCACCTCTCAGTCCTCAGCTGAGGTCCTGCCCCTGGGAAGGTCCAAGGCCCAGGGCAGTGCATCACTGATGCCTACTTCCTTTGCTCGTTCCCCAGACCTGATGTCTACTCCTGCCAACCTCACAATCCGGGAGGGTCTGGCAGCTCCACCCCAGAGGCCCCGTTCCAGGAAGGTATCCTGTCCTGTCACCCGCAGCAACGGAGACCTGGTAGGGTGAGGGGCATGGCAGGAGCTGAGCTGGGGGTCGCCTTTAGGGGGCAGCTCAGGGCACTGCTCCTGGGGTGCTCACTGTCCAGCCCACCTCTTTCTCTTCCAGTCTCGTTCTTTGAGCCCTTCCCCACTGGGCAGTGCCCCAGAACGGCCCAGCTTTTCAACCCAGACAGGACATGGTATGTGGGGGCAGCCCTGGGGTCCACCTCTGGGTCTTTCCTTGTTCAGGGTGGGTGGGACTGAAATGATGAAGGTGATGTTGATGGAGAGCAGGGTCTGTGCTCACATTCTCTGTGTACTCCCCACCATCCCAGGATACTCCAGGGGCCCAAGCCCTGTGGTTCTGGGCTCCCAGGATGCCCTGCCCGTGGCCATAGCCTTCACAGAGTATGTCCATGCCTACTTCCGTGGCCACAGCCCCAGGTATGTTGTGACAGGAATAATGATGGGGACGAACGAGATGTGTTAGAATCAGCAGCAGGGGTTTCTGGAACCTCTGTGTCCAGGATCTGGAAAGGATAACCTTCAGACGTGCTTCATGACATACCCCAATGTGGAAGGGCATTGAATGCCAAGTCAAGTACCTGGACCCTTCTCCCAATGGTGATGAGAACCTTGGATAACATTGAGTAGGGCCAACTTATAGTCTCCTTTGATGCTGCCATGGCAGAACTATCAGGAGCTAGACAGAAGGCCAGGCCCAGGGAAGGGCAGGTTAGGGGCAAGCTGAGGAATCGGGAATCTGGTGACTGGACCTAGAAAAGACTAAAAGCCATTAAGAGGAGGAGAGTGTTAGACCTGAAACCCAAGCTGTAGAACTGAACATTTTACTTTGAGCTTCCTGATGGCCACGGGGAAAAAGGAAAATAGGAAAAGGAGTGTTCCTATTCCATTCAGACTAAGGTGGATTCTCCCTAGTACATCCGGCAAGGAATACAAGCGGAAGAAGTTTGGGGAAAAGTTGCTGGGTACTGTCCGGGCCGTGTTACATTTGAGGGGGCTGCGGAGCCATTCACTAGCCAACACCCAGTCCTACCACCCTCCCCAGCTGTCTGGCGCGAGTAGCTGGGGAGCTGACCATGACCTTCCCTGCTGGCATTGTGCGAGTGTTCAGCGGGACTCCGCCCCCGCCCGTCCTCAGCTTCCGCCTCGTGCACACAGCCCCCATTGAGCACTTCCAGCCCAACTCAGACCTGCTCTTCAGGTATTGTTGGCATCCCAGATGGTCACGGGGGGTGGGAGCTCTCCAGGTCAGAGTTCTTGCTCTGACTCTAGAGACTTGCTGTGTGGCCATGGGAAAGTTACTCACCCTTTCTGAACCTTGCTTTTCTTCTCCCCTTCAACTCCTTCCTGCATGATTTGCTGGGCCAGGAAATCTGCATTTTTAGGAAAACGATCAGATGCTGGGGACATCTCCAAAGGGTGGTGATGATTGTTCCCTGTCTTTGCAGTGACCCCTCCCAGAGCGACCCTGAAGCCAAAGACTTCTGGCTTAATATGGCAGCTCTGACAGAGGCCTTGCAGCGCCAGGCTGAGCAGAACCCAGCCGCATCCTACTATAACGTCATGCTGCTACGCTATCAGGTGGGTTATGGGAAGTGGGTGGCCAGGCACGCTGCAGTTGCGGAGAACTAGGCCCGGTGGGCAGGGAATGAAGGCAGGGAATGAATGGGGGAACCCATAGACAGTTTGAGAGGGCATAGCCTCTCCTAGTACCAGCAGCACCCCTGTGCAAATTAAAAGCTGCCTTTACAAAAGACATTGGAAATCAGTATCAGCAGGTTTTGTTAGCACGTGGCACTCTCCTGCCCTCTGCTGGAAGAATGTTTTAATACAGGCTCTGTTTACAGTCTTTCTAGAAATGACCCCTTTAGGTATTATGTAAGGTCCCCTGGGTGGCACAAAAGGTTTGCACTCTACTACTAACTTAGAGCCCTGGTGTGGCACTGTGGGCTAATGCACTGGACTGCAAGGCCGGTTTGAACCATAAAGTTGGCAGTTCAAGCTCACCATCCACTCCTTGGAAACCCTATACAGGGTCGCTATGAGTCAGAACTGACTCAATGGCACTTAACAACAACACTAACCTAAAGGCGTCCTGATGTGGCACGTAAGTGTTGGGCTGCTAACCACAAGGTTAGTGGTTCAAATCCACTAGCCATTCCTCAGAAACCTATACAGTGTTGCTATAAGTTAGAATCAACTTAAAGACACTTACCAGCAACAGCTAACCTAAAGGTTGGTATTCAGACTCACCCAGTAATGTCATGGAAGAAAGTCTGGCACTTTATTTCCAGTAAGTTTACAGCCAGAAAATTCTATGGAACAATTCTACTCTAACACATGGAGTTGCCGTGCGTTGGAATTGATTCAAGTGGGGTTTTTTTTCAGTTGGGACGGTATGCATGCAGGAATGGCGAGCAATGACATAGGGTCAGGACAGTTGAATGGTGTGAAGTGTGGCAGGATGTGATGGCCCAAGTCATGTTCTTCCTCTTGTCTCCCCTCCTCCTAGTTCTCCCGCCCTGGAGCCCAATCGGTGCCACTTCAGCTGAACGCCCACTGGCAGTGCAGCTCGACCCTCACCCAGGTCTCAGTGGAGTACAGCTACCGGCCTGGTGCCACAGCCGTGCCCACACCGCTCACCAACGTCCAGATCCTGCTACCTGTGGGGGAGCCCGTGGCCAACGTCCACCCACAGCCTGCCGCCACTTGGTGAGGGCATACGGGAGGCTCAGCACTGTGTCCTGGAATCTTCCAGATCTCCCTTAATGGCAACTCAAGGGCCTACCCCAAGCCCAGACGCTGTGAGCGCATTCTGTGTAAAGGAGAGGTGATATCATTGATAGTAATACCTAACACGAACTGTTTCCTGTGTGTCTTGTATGTTCCATGCACACTACACGTGCTACCTCGTCTTTTAGCAATCCTGTAAGGTATGGACCACCATGACCCCCATTTACAAGGGGAACAGTGAAGCACAGAAGGGCTGAATCATTTGAGGCCAAAGCCAGACATGAAACCAACACGCTGCTCTCAGTTGCACAATGCTGCCTGTGGTTTTTTTTCTAAAGGATAGAAACCTAAATGTATTATCTCAAAATACTGCAAATCTTAGGTCTCCAGGGAACAGCTGCTCCATACCTCACTCCCATTTCACAGATGAGGAAACTGAGTTGGAGGCAAGCTGACTTGCTGGGGATCTGCAGTAGGGAGGTGGCTCAGCTAGGGCACAGACTCCAGGCTCCCAGCATCTTTTCTGGGGAAGACCTAACTCAGCTCTTCTTACTGTCAGGAACTTGGAGGAGAATCGACTCCTGTGGAGACTTCCAGATGTGTCTGAGGCAGGGGGTGAGTTCCTGTTCTGCTTAAACTTTCCGGGGGCTTGTTAAAACCAGGGGAGAATCTAGGGTATGCTGGGAGTGGGGAAGTGTGGGCTTGGAAATGAGAGCGTAGCACATGCCAACTTCCTGCAGCAGGTCTGATCTGCAAACCACAAACAGCACAGTGAGGCAGGGAGATGGGTGCCGGGGCGAAGATGAGATTGGAGGGGACAGAGGTCACAGAAGCTCAGGTCCACACAGCAGGACTGGGCTGAGCTGACCCTCAGGCCTCTCCAGGCTCCGGCCGCCTGTCCGCCAGCTGGGAGCCACGCTCAGGGCCCAGCACACCTAGCCCCGTGGCCGCGCAGTTCACCAGTGAGGGAACCACCCTGTCAGGTGTGGACCTGGAACTTGTGGGCAGTGGCTACCGCATGTCACTGGTGAAGAGGAGATTTGCTACAGGTATGCCTCCTTGGGGGCCAGGGCCAATCCCCTTCCGCTCCTACTAGGTGCAGCTGAAGGAGACAGGGCCATCTGGCTATGAGCATGCAGGGGAAAGACAGGGATGGAGACAGGAATGGGTGGAAGGAAGTCAGAGCCTTAAAAGCAGTCAAGAAGAAAGACCGTAAAGCCCCTCCCCCTGCACTCCTGTCCTCACAAGGGACCGAATGAGGAGTGAGACAGCATGTTAAGGGGTGTTTGAAAGAGGAGGGTTGGGGAATCTCAGGGATGTCCTATGTCCTGACCACCTTCCCACCCCTCAGGAATGTACCTGGTGAGCTGCTGAATTCTACGCTATGTTGTCCTGGTGCTCACTGACTGCTCCTGTCCTCTGTGGACCCTGAGGTCCCCCATCCCAGCCTCCCCGAGGCCTGGATCCCATGGCGAGGAGCCCCATGCCTAACCTGGCTGAGCCTGAGACTCGCTCCTCCTCATGCAACCCCATGCAGGTCCTGGTCTTTTAATGTTCTTTGAATAAACACTTTATTTTCTAATAAAAGCAAACAAACCTTTTCCTGCTCCAGGGAATTTTCTTCACAGAGAGGCAAAGAAGAGATGTATGGATTGGGGGAGCAGGGGGGCGTATTGTCTTTAATGTCTTCTCTTCTCCGTCATGACCAGTGTATGCAGGGCAATGCTGGAAAAGAAACAGAAGACATCCACAAGGTCAGAGCTGGCTGGAGGGAGGGACCAGGAATGTGGGAACCAGAGACGGGAATCAGGAAAGCTTCCTAAGGAAGGGACATTATAAATGAGGTTTTGAGGGATGAGTAGGAGTTTGCCAAGTGGAATTGGGCATCCCAGGCAGAGGGATGGAGAGTGGTGAGTTCCTTGAAGAAGCAATTAGTCAACCCACAAGTGTTGATTGATTGCCTATTATGTGCTAGGCTGGATAGGACAAAGTTCATGGAGGCTGTGGAGTCAAGTAGTCTAGGTGGCAACAGATGGTGACTGTGTGTCTCTGAACTGTGAATTGACTTTTTGGGATTCAAAGCCCTTGGCTGAGCCCCACTTCACTCGGTGGTCGAGGGAGGCTGAATTTAGAAGGGTGCCTTATAGCAAGTCAGAATACCAGCAGGTTGTGGCCAACAGCTTTTATCTGCATGGAGCCTGGGGCAGTGGAGTGGCCTAGAACTGGGGTCCAGGACAGGTATGGTGATCAGCAAGCTCTGGGGTTGGGAGGCAGGTCTGGGCTCGTCAGACAGTCCTAGGTCCTGCTGACATGTGAGGACCCTAGACACCCTGGGGACAGATGGAGCCCTGGAAGCAGCCAGCAGAACTGGGCCTGAGTCCGAGTCTCTCTCTGATCCTTTTCCTCAGGCCTCCAAGGTGGGAGGGAAATCTGTCTGTGGCTCAGTTTCCTCATCTGTTAAATGGGGGAAACAACTCCAGCTCCTCACATTGAGAGCGATCTGGGGAGCTGTTCTCAGCTCACAGCAATTGCACAATTGTCCCTCATATGTTTGATTAACTCAGTGTGGGGAGGACAGGAAGTGATCTCCCACAGCCCAGCTGCTATTCATTGTCCCTAACAGAAAGTCATGTTTCAACCACAAGACACAAAAATGGAACCAACAACTTACTAACTCACAACTCCCAGGGGTGGGGTATACAGCATAGTCAAGCCACAGCACACACAGGATGAGTAAGAGTGGGCCGGAGGTAGGACCCTTAAGGTGGGAGGATGGGTTGAAGGGTTTTCACAGGCTACATGACCAAGCTATTCAAGTTCTTCATAATATAACCCAAGTCTTCCAGCCTGATGCCCCTAAAAAGCTCTGACTTACTCTCCTGGCCATTAAGTTGATTTGGGTTCCTAGCAATACTATAGGAGAGAGTAGAACTATCCCAGAGGATTATCGCTAGCCGAGAGGATTATCCTTACAGAAGAAGCCAAGTCTTCTCTCCTAGGAGTAGGAGTAGCTGGAGAATTCAAACCTCCCGTTATTCGGTTAGCAGCCAAACAGTTAAGCAATGGTGTTTATTGTCCACTGCCACTGGGCCTATTCCTGCTCAGAGTGACCCTATAGGACAGGACAACTGCTCCTTAAGGTTTCCAAGACTGTATATCTTCACTGGAGTTGTTGTTGTTGTTGTTAAGTGCCGTCGAGTCGGTTCCGATCCATAGCGACCCTGTACAGGGTTTCCGAGGCTGTTAATCTTTACAGGAGCAGAGCGCCTCATCTTTCTCCCATGAAGCAGCTGGTAGTTTCTAATTGTTGACCTTGCGGTTTGCAGCCCGATTCGTAACCACTACGCTACCAGAGCTCCTTCACTGGAGTAGAGAGCCTTATCATTCTCACACAGAAGGGCTGCTGGGTTTGAACTGCCAACCATGCAGTTAGCAGCCCACCATTTAACCCACCATGCCACCAGAGCTCCTGGTGCTGATGACAGCAAGTGTGTGCTTTCCTGGCTGCAACAAGCCTCCCGATTTCTGTCACCCATGACAGAAATGCCATCTCCCATCACCGATGCTCTGTGTCACAGGATGCATTGCAATGATAGCTTCCAGCTGAACAATGTCCAGGATACCTCGGCCCCCATGTTGAGCCCCTTCTTCACCATGTTGGCTGACACAACACACACCCCCATGCAGCTGGCCACCCCAGATAACGATGCTACCGAAAACATCAGCATCTCCACGCCTCAGCTCCCTCCAGTTCTACTCTGGTACCTTCTGTGCTCTGTGGTTTCAAAAGGACCAGTAGCCACCTACCCCTGAAAAATCCCCTCAAGTGTGCCTCCCCTTCTACCCTCTCTCTCCTTCCCACCCCCAGCCATGGCCTAAGGTTAGGCTATGTACCCCCAGCACCTGTGAATAATATAGGTCTTTATTTCCATTTGTGTCTTGTGGTTCATGGCGTTGCTAGGACAGGAAGGGTACAGACAGTACCAGGTGATGCTGTCAGTGGAGATGACACTGAAATGACTTGTCTATAAAATTTTTGTGCTGTGGTTCAGTGGAAATGTATTTTTATCTTTAAAATCCCTATACCTAATTATAGGAGTCCTGGTGTGGTGCTGTGGGTTAATGCACTGAACTGTAAAGTCTTTTGAATCACAAGGTCAGTGGTTCAAGCTCACCAGCTCCTCCTTGGAAACCCCATACAGGGTTGCCACGGGTCAGAACTGACTCGACAGCACTTAACAACAACATAACTAAGTATAGCCAAAACCAAAAACCTTTTTTATAAATCCATCATATATGTATCAATATACCAACAGGGCTAAAACTCTATTGTGGCACTGTAAGATAAGCACTGAACTGCTAACTGCAATATTACTGGTTCAAACCCAACAGTTGCTCCTTGGAAACTCTATACAGGGTTATTATGACTTGGAACTGACTCAACAGCACACAACAACAATTGCACTCCAGAGTCCTGGTGTAGTGCTGTAGGATAAGCACTGGACTGTTAAACACAAGATCAGTGGTTTAAACCCACCAGTCACGCCTCAAAAACCCTATACAGGGTCACACTGAGTCAGAACTGATTCAACAGCACTTATATATATATATACACAAAAAAAAAACAAGGTTGAGTCACAATGATCTGCACTCCGCTTATATTAAAATGCCCATCTATGTCCATGACTGATGACAACGTTGAGCGTGCACATGAAATGATTCTGTTGAGTATACCAGTGACAGCAATGGATTAGGCAGCAAATCATTTGCAAATCAGCCATGGCTTTGCCTATGAGGTAATCTGTGACAGACTTGGGTTTCAAAACGTTTGTGCAAGATGGTTACTGAAAAACATCATGGAAGAGCCTAAACAGAAGCGTTTGGACATCTGCAAACAAAATTTGGATGGATACTGGAAGAAAGGTAAAAGTTGCTTTAAAATAAGACATGGATTCATCACTATGAACCTGAGTAAATGCCAGAGTGTGGAATGGAAACATCCGCAATCGCTGACCAAGGAAAAGTTCAAAAGTCAACCATCAGCTGGAAAATTGATGTTTAACTGTTTCGTGGGACTCTCAAGGGCCAGTATTAGAACAGTATCAGGAAAAAAGATTCAATAATCAACAGTGTTCATTACAGTGAGATGTTCACTGAAGAGCTGAAGCCTAAACTGGTTTAAATGCAGAGAGGACTGTTGTCCAAGGACATTGTGATTTTGCATGACAATGCATTATCCACACACCTCTGCCCACACTGTTGACACTGCAAACTTTTTGTTTTGAGGTGTTAAAGCATCCTCCCTCCATTGAATTTTCACCTGTTTGGTCCCGTGAAAGCAACCCTCTGAGGATGAAGATTCACCTCTGATGAAGAAGTGAAGACAGTACCTTGTACAGCAGTCTAAAAAAGTTTTAAATAAGGGAACAAATTAACAAAGTATATTATTGAAAAGCAAAGAGATTATGTTAAAATGTTATGTGCCTGTGTTTTCTAAAAGTTGATTAAAATAAATTCTACAGCCAAAGTGTGGATAATTTATAATTTTTGACTCACCCTCGTGTGTGTGTGTGTGTGTGTGTGTGTGTGTGTGTGTTGATGCTGTTGTTAAATGCCCTTAAGAGTCATTTCTGTCTCATAAGGACCACCCTGTATAGGGTTTCCAAGGAGTGGCTTGTGAGGTTGAACCACCAACCTTGTGGTTCAAACTGACCTTGAAGTCCAGCACTCTATCCCAAAGTACACTCCAATCAGAGCTGTCATTATTGTTGTCATTAGGGGCCATTGAGTTGCTTCCAACTCATAGCAACCCTATGTACAACAGCACTAAACACTGCCCAGCCCTGTGCCATCCTCACAGTTGCTAGTTGTAGCCACTGTGTCCGTCCATCTCGTTGATCATTGACCCTCCCCTTTACCAAGCATGATGCCCTCCAGAATCTGGTCCTTCCTGATGATAACACGATCAAAGTACATGAGATGAAGTCATACCATCCCTGCTTCTAAGGAGCATTCTGGCTGTACTTCTTCCAAGATAGATTTGTTCGTTCTTCTGGAAGTCCAAGGTATAGTTAATATTCTTTACCAACACCATAATTCAAATACATCAATTCTTCAATCTTCCTCATTCATTGCCCAGCTTTCACATGCATATGAGGCAATTGCAGAAACCATGGCTTGGGCCAGGTGCATCTTAGTCCCCAAAGTGACATTTTTGCTTTTTAACACTGTAAAGAGATCTTTAATGGCCCATTTGTCAATAGGGTACATTGTCATTTCTTGCCTGCTGCTAGCATGACCACTGAATTGATTATAGCGCCAAGTAAAATGAAATCCATGACAACTTTATGTTTTTCTGTATTTGTCATGATGTT